TATCCAATTCTTTTTTTTCTTGTTGGACTTGTTCATTCATCTCAAGATGATGATGATCTCAATTGACAAAGGGCTGAAATAGTGATGCTTCTATGCTTATTAAAATGGTAGTCTGAGTCTCTAAGTCACTTCCTTATTTCATTTGGTCAGCAGTCAGCTAACAAATGTATAATACCTCAGTGCTTACTTGCTCCCTTATTTCCTAATGATTGAATTTGGGATTCCATCCATTTGAAAACTAGGTAGAAGAACTCCTACGTAGGAAGGCTGTTAAGGAGGTTGCTGACAAGGAATTTCAGGAGTTTGTAGAGTTGCTAAAATCTGCAAAGGCAACGCCTCTAGATGCTAAACCGCCTAAATCTTCTTGGAAGGTTGAAGAGAAAAGTTGGCTCAAAATTGAGTCTATTGAAGCTTATGCCGTTGATGCTTGCAGGAATGATGACCAAAAGAAAACAGCGGGAGTGGTAACTTTCTGACTTATTTATTTAATCCTGTTACTTTAGTGCTTGAAATGTTGCTTTCACTAACCAATCTAGAAATATTTAATTGAGAGATGATCACATGATAACATTTCTTAGTTTCGATGTTTGTTTACAGTTTCACACCCCATTAATGGGGACTAAACTTTGTGTTTTATATCGAGAAATCTGTGTAGCATCTAAAGTTTTTCCTCAGATTCTGAAGGCCATGGGACTGCCAAAAACAGCATCTTCTGCAGTAAATCTTCTCATAGATATTGGATATTTCCCAGTACACGTCAACCTTGATCTGTTGAAGTTCAACATTCGTACTGATTATCCAGACGAGATTTTATCGGCTGCTGAACATCTTGTGTCAGAGTCATCAGACCCAGATGAGGCAAGCCCGTTTCCCTAGTAGATTTAGTTGTTCAAAAGTCTTGTCCAACTTACATTGAATTCTTTTTGCCCCTCTGGAGTTGAAGTTTGTATCATGCTGGAAATTTTTGAAGGGTATTGGCATTGAAGAAATTGTGAGGTTTCCACAGATGTATCAAACTAGTTTTATACTGTTTTGCATTCTTTACGTGGTTTTTATCCATCCTTTGTTTTTTCTTTCTTTCATCTTCTTTTTATCTGTCTAGTTTCTTTTATATTGTTATTTTTCTTTGGTAGATCCCTTTCAAACAACAATTAGGTAAACTCTTTGGGTCTAGGCTGATGAGCTTGAAGCCTATGCAGACTTGTTTTGTGCATTTGGCTGCTGATGTGGCAGGAGAAAATTTGCTTCTTTTGCCTGCCATCACAGCTGATTCATATAAATGTAGGAATAAAGCTACCTGATTCTTATTCCTTTGACTTATGCAACAGAGACCGATGGTTGCTCGAGAAGGAAGAAATGTAAGATGGTGCTGCTGAGGAAAACCGGACAGACATAGCTCTTAATAGAGTAAATTGTTAAAGATGGTTCAGTCCCTAAGTAGCTCCCTTTAGAAAAATTGTTTCAACCTACTTCCCCTTTTTTGTCTGGTCCAAATGAGCAAGACTTACTCCTCCTCTCTTTCTTTTGTTAAGAAGCTAAAATTAAAATAAGAAATTCTCATATTGAGTTCTTGAGGATGTTTGATGGCCGTGGAGTTAAGAAAATTACAACTTTCTCACCTCTGTTGAGGAGAACAATTGTTGAAGTTCAGATGGTAAAGTAAAGAACACATTGTCATTCTCTTTTTGTCCTCAATGGAATGTCTTCCTGTTATATGGGAGATGTTTGTTCATTTCTTAAATTGTGATGTCAACAAGTATGATGATTTGGTATAGCAATGTAATTTTTGTCTATATGTTGAAGTTCTGAATGTGATGTGCTGCTGTTGCTCTCCTTCAGGTTGATAGAATAGATTTGACTCACCTGAAGGTTTATGCAATTGATGTTGATGAAGCAGATGAGGTGAAAATATAAAGCATAAACTCATAGAGGGCTTTTGTTATTTCCCAAATTAGGCTTCTTGGGATTCCTCAGTGCCTTGTATAGTTCTTATTTTGGTGAGCTATTACTATCAATTTGCTAACAGCCAAGCATATGCAGCTTGACGATGCACTCAGTGCGACAAAGTTGCTGGATGGCCGGATTAAAGTTTGGATACATGTTGCAGATCCAACTAGTATAGTTCAACCTGGGAGTATAATTGACAGGTTCGGACTGAGTTTTTGTACAACATTAGAACTTGTGGCGCACATGTCAGAGGTTATCTAGGTAATTAGTTGAGGGGTGTTGGTCAGTTGTGTTACAAAACTCAAACTGAGGAGGTTTTTATGTCATTGTCAAAGTTTTAGGAGAAGGGGTTGGATAGTTTTTTGGGTCATAGGTTAAATAGTTGAGGATTATTCCTAATGTGGGAGACACCAACAGACCAAGTCACGTCTCTCAGTTGATAATATAGTGTAGAAAATCTTGTAAATTTGTGCTATCCAAAGCATTGTTTGACAAAGTTCATGCTCTGTAGAGAGGCAAGGAAAAGAGGAACTTCTGTGTTTTTACCTACTGCTACTTATCCAATGTTTCCTGAGAAACTTGCCATGGAAGGCATGAGCTTGAAGCAAGGGAAGCTTTGCAAAGCTGTAACAGTATCCGTTGTGCTACGCTCTGATGGAAGGTAAAGGGTCAATGTATCAAATACAATTGCTAAGAGTTGAGTTGGCTTACATGTTCTAATGGTTCATTTGGGATGTAGGGCAATGTGTTAGATTTATGGGCACTGAACTTCCATTTAGAAATACTCCATGCTGAACATAGCATTGTATGAAGTTTTTTGCATGTCCTATGGAATTTTAACAAGTCCATTCTGTTTTTCAGAAAGAGACAGGCATAAAAAGAAGAAGGAAAACAGTAACTTTTCAAACATGTTTACTGTTGTCAAATGCTCGAACTTTGAGTATCATGATTGGCCATAGATGCACAACATTCATGGATATTACAAGCTTAAATATAGTAAAAACATGGACAAGGAATAGAACCTCATCATCTGCATGACCGATTATTGCTGGACCCCATGAACCAACATAGTCAATGTACTCATTACCATCTATGTCCCGCATGCGACATCCCTTGACAGAATCCATTATAATGGGCTGCCCACCAACTGATTTGAAAGCACGTACAGGGGAGTTTACACCTCCAGGCGTCAATTCCTGCCAACATTCTTACATGAGTTAGTAATAAATGAATTTGAAACAAATTTGTTATATTTTCAAATAACTGCATGAAAGCAGAGATTACATTGCAAGTTAACAAAAACAAGTTGAACCCAGTTAAGTTCTTGGTATAAATCTAAATAAAAGCACTCGTAGTTCACATAGGTCATAGTAGCTGGTGAAGTAACAATCATGTACCTTACTTCCATGACCTGAATTTCACGTTTTGATATAGAAGTGTGATGCTTCCAGAACTTAATTAAGCCTATCCAAGTTCTTTCCATATCTTTCTAAAAGCTGAGAGAATCAGAACCAATTCAAAATTATCCGTCATCTGTCCATCCTTTCCATAAAGGACGGTTTGAACTTAGAACTTTTAACCATGTTTACCATTCACTTGTAAAACCAATAAATATGACTTTAATAAAAAAATTAATCTGACAATGCAATCATCCTGTTACTATGCATATAGCGGACACTATTGGTCATTTTTGGAGTAAAATTTGAAAATGGGTACATGTCACCCAGCCTCTGAAATCTGAACACAGTAGACCCAGGTAACAATGCAAATCCCTCTAATTCCTCTCTCCCCCCTCATCTTGGTACTAAAATCCATCACCCCATTATTGGTCCTACCAGTGAGCAAGATCCTCTGGTAAACTGTCTTCAAGTGCAACTGACATAAGCAAGGAAGCTCCTTAGCAAGGCCGCTTGAGCTTTAGAGGAAGGAAGATAGGGTTGGCCAATGATTTTACACTTAAACACCTACTTAATTAATCTGGCCATGGTTTAATTTGTGGTTGAATGATCGAAGGAGCGATCTATAGATGTTTTGGTATTATGCATAAGCATAGAGTTAAGTCATTGAGTACAAATAAGTGAGCGGAGACGCCAAAGGAGAGGGTTATTGTGGGTCAGTGTCAATGGTCCACCATGACTGTCAGCTGTGGAAGTGAAATCTAATGATGCCACGTCGATTTAATATTTGTTTAAAGGTGTCTATATCAACTTTTGAAAAATTTGTTGGGAAAATTAGCATAATTATACATAATTTTATTTAACAAAATAATATCCAGATCAGAAACTAACAAGAATATGCAAATAAATATAAAATAATAATCAATTTAGAATAGAATAAAATTCATACTATAATTAAAAAGAGCAGGTATGCGACTGCGAGTCTAAGAGTCGTGTGAACACTGTCTTAAAAAAGCTGAGCCTCCCGCGTGAGGGTACGGATACCAGCGACTCCAAAATCAAACCCAGACGCTCGCAACAGTACCTCCTCAATGGTCACGCCCACTGGAAGGAAGGGATAAACTTGACTCAAATCGAAGTTACCCGAAGTAAACTAATACCAAATATTTGTAGGTATACAAATATAATAATAGGCAAAAAGAAATATATAGAAAGAATAGTAACATTCGGCGAAAGATGAGCATATAGGAAAAATGGTAAAACAACTCATCTTTTACCCAAAACTGTCACCTTGTTTTATAGGCACCATCTTAATTACTCTTGAATAATAGGT